CTTAGCAGCAGCATCATAAACTCTGAGGGCATGAGGGTCTACCTCCTGAATACCTCAAGTTACTCTAGAGGAAGACTCATGGTTGCTTCGTGGTCACTCTAGCTAGCTTCAGAGTGAAATTATAAGCTACAACTAATAGGAGAACAAGAGATTTTTGAAGGCATTAGGTATACTCCTATTCCAGTCAAAGGCTGTTGTTTAATATTTTCTTACTCTTAATAAGCATTACAAAAATCTATGGTAATTTGAGTGTTTAATTTAGCACTGCATTGCTCATTTAGCTTCATGGTAGCAAAAGAGAGATGACTGAGATGTTCCTGTTCCAAAAGATAACCTAATTTATCTACTGGCACCATAGAGTCATTCACCTGCAAAGGATGTAAATTATTGGAGTGCTTTGACATATTCAAATTAGCACATTAGATAATCTTTGCCTGAAAGGGGACTGCCATGATGGAACTTAACAGATATTGAATTGCTTGAACATGCATTTTAAATTCACTTGGTAGGTGTTAAATTGAATGTGTGACACCGCCTTATTACATGTAAATTGAAGACTTGCAGTTCCACCCAGAAGAAGGCAGTGGAACGTGTACACTAAGGCATCCCATTACACTCTCTTCTAGAAGTAGGTATTCTTTTCCTTTCTTCTCCTGTCATTAGTCAGGTTTTGTTTTTCTAACCATCTCATCAGCTAATATCCCAAATCATCCTGCAAGATTCTCTTCTTGTCTGACTAACTAGTTACAATTCTTTGCACTGCATGTAGGAGTTTATTTAGACAGACAATACGTTGGGAATAGCCATTTTCCAGTTCCCCAAAGGGATGCAACAAAACTTTGCTAAAATTAGGACTGGGTAAATAATTCATGACAAAACAATGTAGTTGCCTCCTTTTTGTTTATGAACCATCGACAACAGATTGTTATCTCCAAATGAAGTCATTTTCCCTCTAAATAATTCTCTTCGGTTGTGAAGCCCATGGACTTACACCCACGCAAAGAATTTACATGAGTTAACAGAATAGCCATTTGTTATTTTGACCAAGAGAACTAAATATTAGTTCAGTAAAATATAGCAAGAATAATTAAACACCAAAAATAGATTAATATATAGGTTAAGTTCAAACATGTCTTTTAGTTTGTGTCAGGATCAACATACCTATGAAATATTAATCAAGGTAATATAAACATTCTGGAAGAAGGTACAGCAATTGCTTTAATGGAAGAGTATATATTTTTAGCTTTTCTTGATGCTATGTAGCAAATAAAAACGAGAAGTTCCTAGGTCTCTTTATCCTAACTGTTCTTAATAACCTGCTACAGCCCCTTGTTTAGAGCACCACTGTTTACATGGATTAAGGATGGTAACATTTGTTTGCTTTGCTTGCATTATACCTATAATTAAATCCAATAAAGCTTTCAATGAGATTTATTAACGTGGTACAGTAAAAGCTCTGTTACCCGGCATCCCCTGGGAATGGGGGATGCCAGATAACAAAATATGCTGGTTAATTGAGCGGCCGAGCAGGCATCCTTGCCTGTTCAGGCTGCTGCTTCTCCTGCCTCATCTGGGGCGTTGCTGCCACTCCTGCAGCATTGCTGACCCTCCCGTGGCATAGCTGACCCTTCCATGGGCCCTGCGGGACAGGGAGGTAGGCCCCTTGCAGCCTGCTATGCTCTGGGCGGTGGGGGCTCAGCAGCACAGGCTGCTTTCCCCCATGCTGTGGGGGCTCAGGGAAGCCAGAAGTGCCACGGTGGGCACTTCTGGTTTCACTTTACTGTACAAGCTGACATGCCGCTTAATAGAACATGCCGGCTTGTAAGGTGTCGGATAACGGAGCTTTTACTGTAATAGGAACAGACATTCCTTAAATAAAAATAATTATGTGTGATGTGGTTCATAAAATGTTTAAGCATGAGATGTTATCTCAGTTATTGTAGAAGCATATATTTTTACTGAGGTGTAGCCAATTCCAAGCAAGTAAGAGATATGAGATTAGTTTGCAAGTCATAAGTTGTTTTTTTAAATACAACTGTTAAAGGTTTTTTATTTGTTTTCTGCTTTTGCAGCCCTTGGGGTTTACTCAAGTAACATTTCCAAACATTCCTG